CAATGTGTTCAAATAGCAAGTGTAAGCTGGGCATTATAAGACTGAAGGATATTTTTAAAATAATTAAAAGAATTTCTAATTTTCAGAAACTCAACTTTGAGCAAAGTCAATAAGTAGACGCTGCCTTTGAGCTTGAGCAAATTTGCATATAAGTTGCAAAGTCACAATTAAGATAATTAGAAGACAAACTAATTGTAATAAGTGAAATGCTTCAACATGGGTTTGAACCTTACCGGTTCCGACTCTAAAATGAATAAAACCTTGAAACGAATCAAATAAAATTATTTTTTGGATGTAAAACTATGCCTGATGGATTTTTTATATAATTATTTCTAATTTACTTCGAAGACTGCAAACATTCTTAAATATTTAATTGCAATAATATTTTGGTCAACAAAATAGTAGTTCTTTGTGATCTACCTCAATAATTACTTGACTTCCTAAACATTTCAACTAAAACGATTGTATTTCTGGCTGCTTTCCTAACTGAATGTTTAAATTAATGAGTTTATTCGAAAATTATACAAATACGCTTATCTTGAATACATTATATATAAATATATACAAATTCCCCTATATTTTGGTGCATTTCTTATAAGTTTGCAAATTGTTGCGCGGCATCAAAGCATGACGAAGGCAGTCAAAGCGTCATTGGGGCCACTTGGGCCCACTTCTCAGACATATCGGGAACATATACACTGATTATAGGGCAAACAATGTACAATATGTACAATATGTAAATATAATCAAGTACAAAAAAAAATATTTGCAGTGAGCAAACGCATTGGGGCGTCAGCAAATATGTTTCCCGACGATGCCCGACTCTGGGATACCCTACAACTTCTTACACTCAGAAGGTGATCCCGTTAAAAGGAAAGATACTTGATCTGTTTATACTATTTTAAAAGCTACAACATGCCAAGTTTTGTGTTGCTAGCTCTTAAGCTCTAAGAGATTTGCTCAAAAATTACGATTTTGATATCCATATTTATCGATTGTTCGGAAACGGGGCAAGTTATCAATTCTCGGACAACAAACTAGCACTGCTCGGGCACTAGAAAGAGCAACATTCAAGTACCTAGCTCTTAACGGAAGGACGGAAGTATAGACTGACCAAGAACATATACACTTTCTGTGGTCGAAGATGCTTCCTTCTCCCCGTTACATACCTTTGCACAAAAGCATTATACCCCATCTACCCCCCATAATTTGTAATGTGTTTGTTTTGTTGAGCACTCAGAGTTTAGGATACTCTCACGTTCTCTCAGATAATAAACGTCCCAGATAAATGAGTATGTATATGAAAAATCATATATCTATAGAGCTTAAGACTAGCGCACATTTAGACATTCAGACTGTGACGATAAGACTTCGACCAGATCTTAAAATAGTCGCAAAAAATTAATTTCAATATAAATTTAAATAAAAAATATGAGCCATGCGATAAATTTGCCACTTAATTAAAACAATTTAGCAACGTGGTTGCCATAAAACTAAAACTAAAATAAAAAAAATAAAATAAAAACACACTAGTATATATATATATATATATATATGTGTGTGTGTGTGTGTGTGTGTGTGTGTGTATGTGTGTGTGTGTGTCTGAACAATGAATATATAGATAAAAGTTGACTTTGTAATAGAACATTTTTGAGAACGAGTTTTGCGAGAGGCCGGCAAAAAACGAAAAAAAAAGCAATGACTAAAAAGCAAAAACATAAAACAAAGAACCTTTAGAAAACCAGACTTGAACATTTTCGGCATAGCTTACATAAATGTACACGCATATATATACATATATATTTAGATATTCTATGTACAATACATATAGACATTTCCGCCAGCGATGACGCAACTGAAACAAACGCTGAGAATGTCGAGGAATTCGTTTAGTTTTTAAGCCAGACGCATCTGTTAAATTATATTCTTTCAAATAGTTTTTATCTTTTTTTTCAGCTCTATGCAAGCCGAAAACCCAAACAACACAGGTAGCTAAATAGGGCCAACAGCAGCAGCTGCTGCCTCATGGGCTGAACTTGGCCAGGTAGATGCCTGGTCAAGAATGATGTGAGGACACGCCCAAAATGATAACGGGGCCAGGTGAGGACGCAGGTGCAGCTGTCGATGAGCCAGGAAATAGATTCACTTATTTATGTTTGGGCGCGTCTCTTGTTCAACGTTAACGGAACTAGTTCAAGGCCAGTCGCAGGCGGAACTAGTTAAATGCAATTTGTAATTAAACATTTGCGACATCATTTTAGACAGATGCCATTTAAATAAAATACAAAAAGCAAATTTATAGCTTAAATGAATTTATTTATTTTCATTTTCAGGATAAAATGCTTCAAATTGGAATTCAACTTTCCGATTAAATTTCCTCAATAATTCAGATTGTTTTCAGAACTAGTTCAGGTTGAAGTTTATTTAAAGGGAAAAAAGATTATAACTTATTTTATTTGTTTTGGGAACTAGTTCAAGTATATATTTATATTATAAGAAAAATATGTTCAATTGAATTTTCTGATTAATTTTCATACTAACTTGAGAACTAGTTCCACTGATTAAAATAGATGTCAAAACATAAAAGGGCCTATTTAGGTAAAGCCTTACCATGAATATAACCCCCTTTTTCTTTATATCTATATATACATAAAGTCAGAAACTTGACGTAAAATAATCAACCAAAATCTAGTTCACTTAAGCAAGTTCCGTTCTTGCTGTGAACTGATATTGAAAACATTTGTCAAGCTGTGCACAACAAATGCGAATTGATTTTCAAATATTTCTCATGCGGTCCGCAACCAGCTCTCGCTTTATGTAAAAATTGAAAATCAAATATGTTGCATTCGATTGAAAATGCTGCACTGATACACCCAGAAGGACCTGATAGAACAGCTACGTTCGGAAAGCCGAATATAAAATACCCCACTGCAGAAATGCTTTAAAATCTAGAAGCTACAGAAATGTTTACTGCCCACAGTCAGAAAATTAATATATATAAAGTTTTGAAACCCCATTATATGTATAGTTGCGGGCGTTATGCTATAGAGATCCATACAGAGCCCATTAATCTCTACCTTACATTTATGCTAAGACTTTAGACTAACAACAAAAGATAACCACAGCTAGTCTTGCTCATCTAGATAAAATTGATTGATTCTTCAATGGTTGGCGTTATGTCAAAAATAGAATACCCTTTGTGTAGGGTATCATAAAAGCAGCGGCATCAATGACAACAAACAAACTGAAATATAAATGCAGCTGTTGCAGTTTTATAAATGCGGTTGCCCTCCAAGCCTTGCCCAAAACTATCTATCTAGCTATTATACGTATATCGTATAACATATATAGTATATCGTATATCAATATCAAGCTCAATGTGTGTGTGTGTGGGTGTGGGTGAACCACGTAATGTTGAGGGCGCTTTTTTAGGCGCACGCCTCAATGGGCTGGGCAGAATGTTTCTGGTTCTGGCCAATAAAAGCTACACTTTTTGGATTGCCAACTTTTTGGCCAGCTGATGGGGCGTTGTCGAAAGGGGGAGGAGGGTAGGTGGGTGGTACATGGAGCGTGGTAAATGACTTTTAACGCTGACAGCGAAAACAGTTTTGGGCCGAAACGGGCCAGTTGGGCCAAACAAATTGCAACTACATTTTGTTGCTTTGGCTGCAGGCGAGAAACAAACTACAGTAAAAAACGAGAGTGCTCGACTAGAAGATATCCTGAATCGAGTGCTGAGATAACTTTGCAAACGTTCTGGCTAGGCAAATGTCAAGGGACAAGGCTCCAGCTTGAAAGAGAAGTATATTTTGTCCTGGCATCATTTAGGCAGGGCTATCCGTACAGTGAAACATTCTTCATGTGCTGATGTAGCCAGTCTCGAGGTCGATTTTAATCGATATTAACTCGATTTAAACTTGTATATATATCAAATTTCAAGTCTCTATCTTTGCTTACATACGGAAAGATAAAAGCGCACAGCTAGATCAACTTAACTACATCTCCCGATGAAGATTACATACACCTTATGAGGTCGGAGGTGCTTTCTTCTGCCTGTTACATACATTTGCACAAAACCAACCTACCCTTTTAGCCGTTTTTAATGGGTTCAGCGCATAAAAACTGTGATAAATGAAACAAAACGTGAAAAGTCACCCGATATGATAACGCTTTTTGGTCTCATCTGGCATTATGAAATATATAGATATGAAATACTATCAAATAAATTGCCGCAAATCAATTTCAATAATATAGATTGATTGAAAAGCCGTGAAATTCGAAACTCTGCACAAACACAATACTAATCGAATCAAAAGCTTATTAGGCGAAAGCTAATTACCGCTAATTAAAACACATTTTTGTTTAAAGCAGAGCAAAAACTTATTTTATGTAGCTGTGGATGCTGTCAACGCCCTATTAATTGGGCAACTGCAAGCTTTAATACGGTAAACAATCGACTTGTACACAAAAGCATGTTTATTTAAACAAAATGGGTCCAATAAGAACCATAAAAATATGCACAAGAACATTAACATATAAACTAGCATGTGGCACGTGTCCTGATCTGAATTGCCGTAGCAGACTTTTCTGATTTATGCATATAAATATATATGAACATGTACTCATCCAATAATTTGTTTTGTTTAAGGAAGAACGTACATTTCACATATCACATTCATCAGAATTGCATTGAGGGGCTAAGTTTCAAAAATACAATATGAATGCTGGAGCATATAAACTCTATCAATAAAGGAAAGAGAGCACAGTAATCAAATAAATTTTTGAGAATTGCATAGTAAGGCGATGTAAAAATATACAATTTGAATGCTTTAGCAGACACCTCTAATATATGCATATAAATGTTTGTTTGTTAATGGAAGTGAAAACACTAATCATTTATGGGAATCGCATAGTAAGGCGATGTTTGAAAAATACCATTCGAATGCCTGAAGGCAAACAAACAGGTATATTCAAAATATGCAAGTTAATATAATCAACGCTTTGTATTTGTGTTATTTATAGAATATTACGAGTATTTGTAGAGCTTTGTATATGATCATAGAGGTCACAAGCGAATGTTTTCAAGTAAGAGTATTGCGTTTTAACTGTCTATAGCACCCGCTGCTCCAAGCACTACCAGAACTTCTCGTCGTCAATTTCCTCGGCAGAATCGTCGCCATCCTGGTCGGTGTCAGAATCCTGATTGCTGGCTTCACCTGTGAGTTTGCCCGCCACTTTCGGTAGACTCGCCGCATTCCAGCGCATCTTGTTGTGGCCACCGATCGAACGGGCCAAATTGCCCACATTGACGATCGCCATGGAGCCGGCATCATTGTAGCGTGGACGTTTCTTTTGCAGCTTGCTGGCCCAACACTCGGTGGCGCGACGGCGAGCATTGCCGCAAATATTCTCGTTGCTATCCGAGTTCCTTGGCGGTGGCGACGGCTGCTCACGCCGCATGCCGGACTTGACATTGGTCATCGGCGTGGGGATGCCAGCCACGTTGGGCGGACGCTTGACTTGGCCGGGTTTCAAGGTAACATTCTCTTTCTTGAACTTTAACTTGCCGGCAATCTGATCGCTGCTGGCCATTGACTCCGATTCGGGCGATTTGACAATCGGCCTGGTGCGGAACTCATGGACCAATGGATAAAGACGCTGTATGGCCGATTCGACGGCATTTACGCTGGCCGCAGTCACCGTAATGCTGCCCGTGGAGAAGATTTTCATGGTGGCCTTGGGATCGCGCATTTTATAGGTAACACCCGGATGCAGTTCCGGCTCATAGCTGGCATTGTCACGATGTCGTTCCGAGAACTTCACGATTCTTATTGACCACGGCATGCTGCAGGTGCCCAGCACATTGACAATGCGAAAGTTCTGAAAATGCACCGGAAACCCGAGTTTGCCCAGGCTGCGGGCATAGCGCCGCGCCGCGACCTTTGCCTGCGGCTCAGAAATGGCACCCGTACACGTTATCCGGCCAGAGGACCATATCGATGCCGTCGTATATGGACGACGCAGACGCATTGTGACCATGCCATTCTCTCGTCGATACTCCACATTCGAGCCATGGAGCGCAATCTCGCGCAACTTGAGATGGCAACGCACACTGAACGAGCACACGACATTGTTGATCACGATGTCCAGTTCTGAAGACGGCTCCGGATTGGCATCTGCTTCGCTCGCCTCAGCTGCTTGGATTGCTGCTGTTTCGATTGTTTCGTTCGCAGCGGCTGTTGTTGTTTCAGCCATGTTTGTGGTCAGGATTGGCAGTTCGTTCTCATTAAAAACCATTTTAATCGATGTTATCTTACAATAAATTGAAAGTAATTATTCACAAGAAGTCGATTCTTTAACAATTGTTTTTTTCCTTTAAAAGAGAGCTGACTGACATCTGGAAAACTCTTCGTTTGACAGCGTGGTCAAAATCTGATTTTTTCACCGCCTACTGAGAGCATAAAATGTTCAAGGCATTGATTTTAATTTCTGTTCAGAAATACGCTTATGTGGCCTCAATAAATTTCTAAATGCACTTATGGCATTTAAATTTATTAAAAATACTTTACAAATGCACATGTGCAATGAGTACTTTAAATAAAAATGATTCAACAATTTAAAAGAGTTCTTCCACATCAAAGTAGCTATTAACTGCACATTCAACATGATGGATTTCTTTAATCTTTTGAGTTTGTAAGTTTAATACACAATATACAAATATTTATAGCTTATTTCTAGATTAAATGTGTCTATGCCATTGCATCACATTTGATTTACTTTTCGGCTTATCAGCTATTGAGTTAAACGAATAGTTGAATTAGCTTTAAATGCATATCTGTTGACTATAAAATATCTAACCGAAGTACAGAGTATCGTAGCTCTCTATACGTACCACAGAGTATCACCAAAAATGTACAATCATTGCTTGATAAGCGTCTGGTCAGTGTTTATAGAGGGAACAGGCGGGGTCAACCGAATGCGTCATTTATTAAGTTCTAATGAAAAACGCAAACATGCAAAAACCTCGCAAAACTGAATCATCGAATGACAAAAAAAATAAGTGAAAATTTAAACGAAAACAATTTTCTAAATATCAAATCGAAATTTACTAAGAACAGAACCGTATGCAATGCTCCAAAAATACATAGTCCCCATATCTGACTGACTACAAAGGTCAAGAACATCAGCTGCATTTGCCACTCGACACACGAAAAGTCAACACCAACTACAAGAAGAAGTACGCTAGTTGAGAGACTCGAAAATACCCTGTAGCATACTAAATGAACATTTTATTTTTAATATACATTCTATGTTTATTGTTCGACGAGTTTAGCAATGTCTGGAATTCGAGGAATCCGAGAAAGGAAACTGCATCTAAAAATGTCTCATTTTTGGGGAAATGTTCGAGTTATCCAAAAAGTGAAACATTCCACATGTACAATTTAGAGTATAATATGTAAAAAAAAAAAGCTAGGCATAATATCAATATCAAAAGAGAGTTCACACTTAACAAGCTCAAAGGTGCCGTCACAACTTCAATATACCCTGTGTTTACACATCGAAAATGGAGACGGGGTATTGCAAGAACAACAACACCTGACCGTGGGCTCGTTGTCAGCTGCAGCTCAAAGGAAGGCGCAGCTGCTACCAAGTGCAGCTCAAGTGGCAGTAGCCGTCGCAGCTGATAAGCGTCCGCCCCCCCAAGCCGCACCCCCTAAGCACACTTAAGTGGAAAGCACTTTGCAATGGCCGTGACTAATGAGGGGGAAAAGCGACAACGACTGGGTCAACATTAATCGGCGCAAATAGAAGTTGAAGTGATTGATTGAGAGGGGGGAGACTTGCGCTTATCAAAACCAGTGACAATGATCGGGCCAAGGGGTTGGGGCTGTGATTGGGTCGAGTACAAAAGAGCAAAATGAAAGTTAGCCGGCTAAACATGATCATTTAAGTATTATCGAAACGCGTTCTAGATTAAATGAACTGAATGTTGATAAATGGCGCTGTAGAAATGTGTTAATGAAATTATAAATAGAGCAACAGCTGCATATACAAACCAGCTGAAAAGGAAAGTGAGAAAAGAGGCAGTGCGATTATGAAGAGGAGAGGAGAATTGAATGAAGAATGAATATCGATTAGAAGCCGCATCTGCTAGCTCTATTATTATCCATTCTGCTTTGTGTCGCATCCTTAAACGTTTCAATGACAGCGTTAGCTTGCTTTACATAACTCTTTATCTTTACATATGTGTGTACGTATATGTGAAGCTACATCTTTCTCACTCTCTTCCTCGCTCTCTCTCTCTCTTAAAAAGCCGTACACAGACTTTTAAAACAAAAGCAGATATGAAAATGCAATCGAAAATAACAGATATCCAATATATGCCACAACTAAGGTAACATTTTAAAGTCTATACTACGTTTAAATAGTAAAAATACGTTTCTAATCTTAATAAACACCTGAAAAAAAAAAATAAGTCTTTTGTTTAAACAAAATATAATGAATGGCTCGCTTTATACTGTGTGCGCTTCAGTTTTCGATAAAATCTAGCCAAAAAATGAAACCGAAACAACAACAACAACAACAAAAAACAATAACAAAAGCAGCAAACAAAAACGAGACCCAGGCGCACAGACAGGAAGGAAGAAGAGCTGAATGGGAAGGGGAAATGGCATGGAATGCCGCATATGAATAGAAAATCAAAAGTCCGCTTTGTTGACTGTTGTTGCTGTTTGCCGTTGCTGCTGTTGTTTGTTTGCCTTTCGCACTTCAATTCTTGTTGCTGGTAGCTAAAAATTTGTTTAGCTACGAAAAACGCACAAGACAACAACAAAAAAACATACACACACACACACACATGCCAAGGGCAGCGTGCTAGGCTTCCTTCAAATTGATCGCATCATAGAAAAGCGGGCACCGCCGCCGGCGGCAGCGCTGCAAAGGAATCGGTGCACGCAAACACAACAACAACATAATATATGTACAAAAAAAATAGCCAAATTCTAACAAGAAAAAAAAATATAACAGTTACGTGTTGCTGGCCAATTAGCATAGCCCAAAGGCCTAAAAATTAAATTCATAAACACATGCACACACTCATCTATATATGTCTGTATATATGTATGTATGTTCATACATAAATCTATGGCTATGATTCGGAAACTAGTTGCTAGGTAAATTTATAATCATACCACATTTGCATAAGCAGCGCCTGGCGCGCCGATACAGCAGCAGCAACAACACAACACTGAACAGAACACAACACACAAATTTCTAGCAATAACAAATCGCTTTTCTTTTCTTTTCTTGTTGGCACTTTCTCTTTGATATTGCGCCCGCGATTATTTATTGCAACAAACACTAGTGTGCGGCGCCGCACTGCACTTGCATTTAATTTACGCACACTACTTTTTATGTTTAAGACTATTATTAAATTCTTTAAGTTGCGTTTTGATTTCGATTTTTTAGTGTATAGACGCCCACGCGCAAATACGTCCGTTCGCTATGCAAGTTCAACGCGTAATAACAGCTGTAAACCGAACTGCTGCTGTAGACGTTGAGAGAGCGACTGTTAACAGGCAGTGCTGCACACTCGGCCGGCTTAATAACATAGCTAGATTTTTTATAAGCTGATAAATGAAATACGTATGTATGTGTGCTCCAATTGTTAAATACATTTTTTAAAGTAGCATTATAGTTAGTTGACACTATTTAAATAATATATTAGGTAAATTTATTGCTAAATTTGATTCTTTGGTTAACAGATGGCAGCCCTGAGACTGTTAAATAACAGTGGTGCTTTCTCGTGTTAACTATCGCGTGCTCTTAGAGATGAACAGTAACATAGAAAATTAACTAGTTAATCATGTCTGAACTACAGGTAAATGTGCGAAAATTAATATAAAATATACATTAAACAATAGAAAAAAACATGCTGCATGTTGCCAGGAGTTCAACCAAGCCGCCGACGATGTCAAGAACTTAAACAGCACACCAGCCGACAGCGATCTGCTGGAACTGTATGGCCTATTCAAGCAGGCCAATGTGGGCGATTGCAATACAGGTGAGGCCTAAATTAATTCATTTAACCTTTCAAATTCAATTGTTACCAATTTGCACAGATAAGCCCGGTTTCCTGGACTTCAAGGGCAAGTCCAAATGGGAGGCCTGGAACAAGCTAAAGGGCATGAGCAGCGCCGACGCCCGAACCGCCTACATAGCCAAAGTGAAATCTCTGATTGCCGCTGTGGGTCTAAAGTCCTAAACTGATGCTGGCATTAATTTCGAAATCTCCAGAAGGAAATGCATTTCTCACATGTAGTACGCACAAGCTCGTCTGCACAAAATACACACGCAAGCCAAATAACATTTGCACATTTATTTAGTCAAAAGCGGGAATGGATGTAAAAATAATATATATATAACACATGCACATATATTGCAACTATAATTATAGTTCACATCTATATTCACATAGTTTTGCATGTTTAGCTGTCCAACTGGGGTGTTGTGGCGCTGTTGCTTGACTGCCTCTGTCGCTCGTACACCTCGCGCTGTAGCTCGCGCAGATTTAGCTCCAGCGTCTCGACCACATCAAAATTCAGATCCTGACGCGCCTGCTTAATATACCCCTTAATTATGTTGATTTGTTCAATCAGCGGATCGTCCACGCTCGACATGGTCGCGGATGCTTGCGGCGCCGACCAGTTGTTTAACGACTGCAAATCAGACTGCAAAGAATTTTAATTAAATGGAGTGAGAACTGTTGTCGGCGGGCTGCGAAAATAAACGAATGTGCTCTAGTCGGCAGTGCCCGACTGGGCGATACCCTAAGGCCAGAGTAAGTCGTGCAATTGCTTAGTTAAGATTTTTGGAAACAGACAGAAAACTCAATTTGAAAAATGCTTTGAAACAGAGGTTACATATATGATCTGTCTTATCTGGACTTTTGTCTTATTCAATAATTCGTAAGCTGAAGAGCTGCTGCTTTGTGATTAACTTACGCCCTGGGCAAAGCTGCGGTTTTCCAGACTAACGCCAGACTGGGCAGCCGAGCCGTTGCGCTCGTAGGCCTCCATGGCCATACGCTGTTCGGTGAGAATGCGCTGTTCGGTTTCCATGCGCTTGCGCTCCTGGATCCGGCGTATATACGCCTCGTCCGGCAGCGGCGGCAGTGAGAGCATGCGTTCCTTTATGGCCTGCACGCAGCTCAGGCGTATGGCTTTCTTGAGCGCCTCATCACGACTGCCCGGTTCCGAGTGTATGGTCAAAATGCGTTTGCTGCGCAAATCAATTTTCTCAGCCACCTGACCAATCTTGCCGCGCAATGCGCCTGAGTCCGCAATCGTGAATATGGATTCACCTTCGTGCAGACTGTTGACAATCTTTAGATACATATCCAGGTCGGGTGTCACTTGTTTCTGTAGCTGCCTGATCTCCTCATAGACCTGAGACATTAAGGGGCGGCAAGTGCGGCTTTCGTGCATGTCCTGACGCGTGTCCAGCAGCCGCAAGCAATGCTGGCAGAGGCGTATGGCGCGATACTCCTGATGCTGCATCTGTTGCAAAGGCTCGCCCCGTGTCGTCGACAAGCTGGCCAATTGCACTGGACAAAACAAAATATACAGTAGGAATGAGAAGCATGACAATACCAGGACTTACTTGCATTCTCCAGCTGCAGGAAACGGGAACAGTCGTGGCACATAATGCCGCCACAGAGCCGACAATGATGCTGTCGGCGTGCTATGTGAAAACTCTTGGCGCAATTGGGGCACAGCTTGACGGAGCTGCCGTCTAACCAAGGCACTGTCAGTTGCTCGTGCTGCTTGCGCTGCACTGCATCCGTGGGCAAATCCTTAAGCAGGCGATGCAGCCTTATGATTAGCTTATTCGTCTCGCTGGCATATCGCTCCAGCCGAGGATTACGCACCGTTTGAAAGTACTCAAAATGGGAGCGCTCTGCGCCCGCACTCTGCTTAAACATATTGTTGTAGACATTGAGCTGCGTACGCGCATTGCTCGCTTTGGCTCCATTGGGACCAGCTGCATTGGTTGCGCTGGCCGAGGGCGTGGCTGCTGGCGGCACAGCACGATTGCGTTCATCCTCGAAATTGTTCAGAATCTTTTTCTTGGCTTTGGTAAATATATCCTTGAAGACGGACTTAAGTGCATCCTCCTCCTCGGCATGTTGGCGCGCAAAGTGCTGGGTTAAAAAATCGATGGACTTCAAATCGGCACGGCAAATAGGACACAGAAAGCCCTCCAGTATCTCGTCGCTGCTAGCGCTGGGCTCCTCATCGGCGCTATCAAATGGATTACCGGACATGCTGTCATGGATTTGGGGCAATGCGTAAGCGAAAGACGGTGGTTTTTTTTTGTGGGTGTATTTGCCGCTGTACTATATGCACTGTGACATCTGTTGGCAATTGGCCACTTATTGGAGCTTGTCCTATTGCCAATTTATTTGCAATTGTTTTCGGGCACCGCAAAGTATATTTATAATTTTAATTGAATTTTGAATAAAACTCCCCCTGAGCCACCCACACGGACAATATAGGAAGTGTTTGCCATTCACGTGTGAACGTGCTGTTCAACTTAACAGCGATGTTCAGGCAGGGTACGCTGTTAAAATAAACAGGCTAGCAAAATAAATCTATTTTATCGTAAATTTAAATTGAAAAACTTTTTCATAAAATTTACATTCTCTGGCAATCATTAATTAAATAACTGTATAATATATCATTTAGTAACTAGAAAACTAAGCATCTTCTTCATCACTAAACTCATCTTCATCCTTGGGCTTCCTGGTCTTGCGCTCCAACTCTCGGGCGAATAGTTCTTTGAATGCCTCATATTCTGGCAGCGTGACGTGGCATATTTTGGTGGCGAAGGATTTCTCAGATGTATCCGTAATCTGATATAGTCGATTGTTAGTCGTCGGCTCGTTGGGATCCGCCTTCAGTGCACGTGGCTTGAAGAGGCCCAAGCGGAACAGAAACGTGTGGCGACAGCGCAGCTCCTCGAAAGACAGCGACAGCGCCGCGGATTTAACTATTTCAGGCACCTCGATGCGCATTATATCGAACATATAATTTAACTTCTGCTCTATGGTATGTTCCGGCTGCGCCAGCAAATCCGGACTATTCATTAGCAGCTTCCACACATTCTTATTGTTTGTCAGTCGACTCTTCAGGTAGGCGCTCAGTGAGAGCAGCTGATGGGCATCGCTAACGTCCAGCAGCTCGGGGTACTTGGTCAGCAGGAGGTGCAGCAGGTGCTCGCCGAACTGACAGGCGCGCCAAAGCTCTAGGCTATTAATTAGGCGCTCCGGTGTGCGTTTCAGTACGGCTGGATTGCCCGTAACGATGCGCAGAAAGCTAACGGTCTCCAGACCATGATTCTGAAATGTTTCGTGTGCACGCTGCCAAATGTCGGGCGTGTAAATGGCCAAAGCGGGCTCCAACTTAATCGCTTCCTCGATGTGCAGCTGCTCCAGTTGCATCGGCTTTGGCGCGGCCGCCTTTGCTGCCAATTGGCGAACCGTTTGACTTTTAAACTGCAAAGTCTGGGCGGTTTAGAGTTTACTTAAGATATAATTTAACTATACGCATACTTGTTGTTGCTGTTGCAGCACATTTTGTGCATTAAATAATATTTTTCTCCACATGCCCAAAAATTTTGCGCAATTCTTTCTCCTATAACCAAAACAATCAACAGCTGTTTACCAATGTTACTGTTAATGTGCTGTTAATGTAAACGCTGTTAAGTCAGAAGAGCGAAACTCTGTTAAAACTGTTAAGCCTGTATGATACGACATTAAGAGATTTCATTTATTTTAATTTGGTAAGTGTATTTTGAAACACAAATGTGTAAATTTATAGATATACCGTCAATTGACAGTCAAAAAGTTTAGTATTTCTTGTGATTTTAGTATTAATATCGTTAATGACATATATTTTATATGTTCATATAATGTCGTATCATACAGGCAGCTTACATACATAATGTAAACAATAACACACGTTGCTCTGCTGCAGCCCTGGCAGCTCCATCTGCTGCACATCGGCAAACGCCGCCACTGTAAATTGTAAAATATTTTATTCAAAAAGTATGGCCAAGAGTAAGAAACAATTGCGCGAACAACACGCCGCAAGGGAAGCCGCCCAAGTCACCAACGCGCGACTGGAGACGTGCAACGATGCCTACACGAGCGGCGCATTTAGTTATCTGCGCTTTTTGGTTCACCTGCTGGCGGCGGCGCAATTCTGTTACGGGATATACTATTATCTATTCAAACTGCACTGGCCGCAGGGTCTGCATGAGGAGGAGGAGCTGAAAACGCGCTGGGGCGGCAAATTCAAGTATCTGACATTTCTCGATGTCATCGTGCAGGCCATTTATCACAGCGTGGCGCTGCTGAATGATATCTTCGGCAACAACACCGTGACCCTGGCTCCAAAGTCCTGTCTGCGCCAGATGCGTGATTATATATTCGCCACGTTCGCATTTCCAATTGCGCATAATGTATGCATTT